GGAGGCAACTCCTCACCACCTTCTCAATGGCAAGTAGGGATTGGCCAGAATTTATGGCCCAATCAGTCTCACCTATATCTCCTAAGTGAATAAAACAAAACTGGTGGGTAGACTTTTGGCCATATTAAACGGAACCTTTGGGGTCCCTGTTCCTGGAACAATGATGTGACTTGTTTTGTTTGAACTGCATAACAAAACTGAATAGATATAATCATTTTTCCTGTGTGAATTTCACAGAAGTGGATTCTGTTAAAGCTGCAATTTTGAAGGTAAAAGTTATGGATCAACACAGAATCATGATCTGATTTGATACTGAATTCCATGTAATTGGAAAGGATAGCTATTGACACATGAGAAACAGCAGTATTTAGTCAATGATGCGGGCAAGAACCAATTAAGAGTGAAGTGGGATCTGAGTGTTAATGAGATAAAACTAGAATTGGTACTGTTGCTTTGCTGTTGGTGTAAGCATGAAACTCTCCAAAGGCTGCTACGTTTCTTTTATTATATTAAATCTGCTCATTGCCATCTGCCTGCTTGTTTTCACAGGTTTTTGCTATCGGAATGAAGGAGAGTGGATGCAAGATTTTTTGTTAGAAGTGTTCGGTATTTAATTTCAGCAGAGCTTCCTGTGTTGGTGAATTGATCAGACAGCCTAACAATCAGTTAATATTTAATTTTATTGCTCAGGGTTTTTGGTAAAGTATTTATTTGTCAAGTTCTGGTACTGTTTATAGGATATTTTGATTAGGTATGAGGAAAATGTGTCCAAAAATAGATTCCAGCAAAATTCCAAAAGGATGCCCCATCAAGAACCTCACTGACCATTCACCGTTACACTGGGAAAAGAAAAAATAAACTTTCTTCAAACACACTTGAGCATTCCAACCTCCAGCACAACAAGTTTCCTTACTATAAATCACCACCACCACCAAAGAATGACTTGAAATTTCTTGGACGTATTTCTGTAATTAACGCCATAAAAATTCTGTGTGGTACTGCTTCAAATTGATCTTTGCCACAGAACTCAGGAAGGAATTAGAATTTTATTAAACATTAAGGAAGTTACCATCTTTTGTAAACATGAATTCGATAGTGTTGTCCTTACCGCCTTTCTTTATACGCAACTTGACATATAATTCTGATTGAAGTATGCCTCCCTACTTGGATCTAGTGCCGACAGAGATTCTTAGTGAGAGTGTACTGCATTGCGGTGGATGGTGATGAAAATCCCTGTCTTGGAATGTCCTGACACAGGCAGGAGGTAAAACTTGTCAACAGCCTGGAAGTTTATTCAAACGTAAGCCAAATTGGAAATTTAAATTTGCTTGCTACTTCCTTATTGCTGTTGAGAACCTTTGCATGTGTAAAATATTAATAAGCTGAAAATGACCAGCAAATTAGCTGAGGAATGTCTTAAGATCTTGTGTGGCATTCCTTTCTGTTGTAACCTTCAGATATTTAGTCATTTTAAATATCTAAACAAGAACATCATGATCCTGTAACATTGGTGGAAGTATTTATCAGTGAATCTTCAATATTCTAATAGTTTGAGATTTAAGGCACTTAAACATATTTATTTTCACCATAGAAATTTTATTTATGCATTTTATTCTTTATTGCTTTATCATTAGAATAAACCTGAGCTGTGTACTTGAAGGTGACTGAAATTCAGCACCACAGCAGAATTAATTTGCTGACATAAATAGGATTAATTCTCTTGCATAATGTGTAGGACAGCACTGCATTGGCTGCAATTAACAGGTTTAGCTAATCTCAGGTTTTTCAACAGAAAAGAAAATGTCAGCATCTGGCTGGTGCTGCACAGGTGATGGTGCCCGTTCAAACTTCGCATCTCGGATCAAACTGCCCTTTTTGGGAGGTGAGAGGAAAAAAGGATGGAAAAGTTAAATGTACAGGAAGTAAATCCTTTAGTGTTCTGAATCAGCATTTGGACAGTCAGTATGTATGGAAAAGATCAGGGAGGTGCTGCTGCAGTCAGGAAATTATGTAATTAACATTTAATAGTAAGAGTTCGTTCTAAAATAGGAATGATCATTGTGGGGAACTGGGGAATCTTTAATTTCAAATGATCTCCACTTCTGAAGCTCAGCTTCAATTCCCTCTGATTTCAATCAGTGTTCCTCTGATCAGCTTTTTTTTAAAAATTTGCAGGATTATCTTGGTTTTCAGCACTGATATATCTGAAGTATTTAACCTGTCTTTTTTATTAACTGTGTAACTAAATTGGGCAATTTATACTGAAATTTAACTGACATGAGGTTTCCATTATCTTTTTTTCTATTGCCTTTTCCATAATTTCCAAACATGTTTCCAAAGTTTAAAGGGTCAATTTGTGAGCTTTGCTAAACCTTCAGTTACTAAAAGTGACCTTTGCCCGAGTCTTCTCACCTCCACCTGCCACGTGCTGTTTATTCTTGAGAAATTGGGAGGTAAATTGAAACCTGAAGATAGGTGTTCTGCTCACAAATGCACCCAAGTTTAGTTTAGTGGCCTCACTGCACTCTGTTATAAATTAATTCAAACAAGGAAGCCAAAGTAAAATTAACTGATGCTTCAAGGTGCCCCTTAAACTGAGTTGCAGCACATACTGTCTTGTAGTCCAGAGCTTGCACTGCAACTGGCCAACACCGTTCTCCTCTCCTTCTCCTCCCCCTCCCACCCCACATAATTGCACAAGTACAAACCTTGCTGTTCTCCACAATACAAACTGCTGAAGTACAGGAAAGAAACAAGTACCATTTCCAGCAGAGTCACCAACAAATTTTGATTTACTTGCTGAATGTCAACCTTTATGTTCAAGTAGTGTGAAGTGTAGGATGGACTAACTATGACTGCATCTGTATGTATACATCCTTTATATTGCAGTGCCTGGCACCCTAATTTCTCATTTTTGTGTTTCTTTCTCCAGTTGTGGATAATTTTGTTAAGCTATACATAATTGTGGCATCACGTGTAGTTAGTTTATTGCCAGTCAGAAGAGGGTTTCAGTGTATCCTATTGTCAGGACTCCTAAATGAAAGTTGAAAGGGTGAAGGAAGAGACCTGCAAGAGTATCTATTGCAGCTCTCTGTTAGAGGAGATGTGCAGCTATTATGACTTGCAGCAATGGCCACAATGGAGCTCAGCTGTTTGGAATTGACAATCTCAAGCTCATGATTGCACATAGGGTTCCAGCCCCACTTTGGGAAGCTCTGGTCTTCTCTTCTGTAGTGACACCAAGTCACTAAATTACAGGCTCCTGCCTGTGATTCAGGTCCTGAGAGCTGCTGGTCATCTATGTTCTCAGCAGTTGCAAAGTGTTTCCTGCACAGCTAAAGGTCCACTGCCAATTTGCTCAGGTTGCATCTTAGTATCTGCACCTGTCTATGGAATAATGTTGACAGGACAAACCTCTTACAAAGATGACGGGATTGACCTGAGCAAAATATAAAAAGAGGAAAATGCTTTGAAGCATGTTACATATACCATTCACACTCCGTTTTGTGATGTGTGCATCCAGTCAACTGGACAATCTCATCCACCCAAACTATTCTTTGTTGTTGGATTTGTTCTTCAAACCTCATGTATGTCACTACGCATTCATTCTTCTACAGTGCTCTGCACTCCACATCTTGAACATACTGCCCTTTATAGAAAACCACCTCATTTCCACTGGAAACTGGTGTCTACAATTAGGTGACTAATCCACTTCGATAGTTTGGACTCTGAGAACAAGATCAAAATTCAATCTGAATAATTCCTTTTTCTGTTTGCTGCTGCAGCTTCTACTCTGCCTCTAAGAGTAATCAAAACTGACACAGGATGTGATATTTGGCTACTTATTACAAGTCTCAGATCAGCTTCAGAGAATTAAGTTTGCTAAGCTAACTACACTGTAGATTAAAAAGGAAGCAAATGCTGCACACGCACACTTTGGAATTGTACTTGAGCCATAAATGTAATGATTCACAAGAAATAATATTGTTGACTGATTTGTAATGAAACTGGGAGATTGTTGTCTAAGTGTGTGAATAATCTTTCCTTAACACAGCACTGTTCAATGACCTTGATTACTGACTTATTTCTTGGCACTCTTCCCATCCAGGGAAAATGATTGATTAAAATTTCAGTAACAAACTCCAATTAAATCTTTAAATGTGCAATTATAAAAAAAACGTTTGAGCTGTTTTTAATATGAAGAGAGTTTACTATGTTTCATTCAGCGTTTTTGTAGTTGTCACTGTTAAATTTCATTTTTGTCAAATGTATTAAACTCAAACGACATTGGATTGAATCATGTTTTCTGGACTATTTCTTTCCTAAGTCAGGATGGATTGGGGGTGCTGTATGCTCCAATCTGGATCTTATTTGTCTTTTTTTTTGTAGGCTTATTTTTCATCTTGATCTATTGTCACAGCCTTGCCCAATTTACATAGTTTATGGCCTAGGCATGTGCAAACCCAGAGGCCAATATTTCAATGGTTCTGGAGTGGACTGCTGTGCAAATCTACCCAGAAATGCACTCAAAACATTTTGCCATGTAGTGTGTCCACTGATTTCCTCATCTCTTCTCAGTCATATCTGGAAATAGAGTTTCATCTCAAAGCATTTGCATCTTCTCTTTCTTGTTGTTGTTCTTCATCAATTCAACCGTTTTCTTTGTGCTCACCTTTGTTCAATGTTAAAGAAAAACATTCACCACAGATCCCGGAGGGAATTGCAGATTTTGGTACCTGGACAACTCAGCCAGCTGCCAATGGTACAATGAAGTAAAAAAAAAATCAAATATAGAAAGAGAGCATTTGCTGTACATTTTACAGCTGCAGATGTAAAATTCTAAAATCCACTTTGATTTCTATTTTAGATATTCATTAAACCTCTAGTTTATAAACAAATGTTTTCTCTTTGTATGCCCTGTTAATTGTTGGTATTGCTAGCCTAATTTGAGATTTCTCTAGCTATGGAATGCCAGTCAGAAGTCAGAGAACGCCGGGTTACAAATCCAACAGATTTATTTGAAGTCACAAGGTTTCGGAGTACTGCTCCTTCGTCAAATGAAGTGACGAGCCTACCTTAGCCCATCTTTTTGCCTGCAAGTGAAAGGTTTTTTTCCCCCTTCGGTTGATTATTCAATTCCATTCCTCCAGCCACTAGCGACGCTGACCAAAAGTGGTGATATTTTTACCATAGCAGGGGGATTACAGTTTAAGGTATAGCCCAGCAGGCAGTATAGGAACCCGGGGACAGAGCTGCCCAGCTCAGCCCTTAATCCAATCCGCCTAATCTAATCCTTTAATGGGCTTCTGGGTAGGATTTAGAGCGGGGTTGGGGCACCAGGCAGCCAGGCCGGCGGCATGGAGGACCTGGTCTGGAGCGGGATCAGCAGCAGCTCCGAGTCCCCGAGCTGCAGCGACGAGGAAGCCGGGGCCCCGGAGGAATGCACGGAGCCTCCTCTCCGCCTGAATGTGGGCGGCACCCGGTTCGTGGTCGGCCGGCAGCAGGCAGCCCGTTTCCCTAGCAGCCGCCTCGGGAAGTTGGCTGCCTGCCGGGGCCTGGAACAGGGCCTGCTACTCGCTGATGACTACTCTGTCGAGCAGAACGAGTTCTTCTTTGACCGGGACCCCGCGGTGTTCCAAGCGGTCTGGCAGCTGTACCGGAGCGGCCGGCTCTGGCCTTGGACCGGCCTGGGCCTGTGCTCCCACCGGTACCACTCCGAGCTGCAGTATTGGGGAGTGCGGGGAGCCCAGGCCCAGCGCTGCTGCCGCCTCCTATTGCAGGAGCGACACCGGCGAGAGGCCGAGGAGGAGCAGCTCCGACTGCAGCTGCAGGCCGTGCTGGGCCTGTCTCCGGGCCCCAAGCCACCTCCGGGCCCGGCTCACTGGCTCGGCCGTTACCGCTACCGGCTGTGGGAGCTCCTGGAGAAGCCGCCGTGCACGGCCGCGGGCCGCCTGCTCCGGGTATCGGGCTGCCTGACCGTGCTACTGTCCATCGCCGTGCTGATCCTGGGTACCGTGCCTGAGCTGAGCGGGAGCCCGAGGCCTGTCCTCTGGGCCCTGGAGACCGGCTGCAGCTGCATCCTCAGTGCCCAGTTTCTGCTCCGCCTGGTCTCGGCCCCGCAGCCCCACCGCTTCCTGCTCGGCCCCATCAACCTGGCTCACCTGCTGGCGCTGCTACCCTTCTACAGTGAGCTGGCGGCAGGCCGCCTGCGGACTGGAGAGTCCTGGCCCCGGGCCGAGCACAGCCGCCTCCTCCTCCGTGCAGCCCGCCCGCTCCGAGTGCTCCGGGTGCTGACCCTGGCCCGCTACTCCACCGGACTCCGGGCTTTCGGCTTCACCCTGCGCCGCTGCTCGCAGCAGGTTTGCTGCCTTCTGCTCTTCATGGCCCTGGGGATCTTCACCTTCTCGGCCCTGGTTCACCAGGCCGAGCACCATCTCCCCGGAACCAACTTCAGCAGCATCCCGGCGTCCTGGTGGTGGGCGGCGGTGAGACGGCGGGGCGTCCGGCGTTGGGGGCGGGGACGGGGGGACAGGGGCCGGGCGTCCCGGGGAGTGGGGTGTTGGGGACAGGGGCCGGGCGTCCCGGGGAGGGGCCGGGCGTCCCGGGGAGGGGCGGGGTCAATGTGGGGTGGTGTTGCCCAGAAGGGGCGGAGAATGTGTGCATCATAAAGAGACGGGGGATGATAGGCTAGGCCATTCGCGTCATACAGGGGGCGGGGTGAGGAGATGGTGTTGGAAATGACGTGCCGGCTCATTCATCTGCTGAGTGCAATGGACCCTCCTTTACCCCAATCTGTTAGCCTGGGCCTGGGAGCTAATCCAGCGTAGGGCTGGGGTGGGTGTATTCTGGGTAGACAACAGGAGGCTGGAAGGACACAGCTGGCCAGGCAGCATCTGGAGGAAAGAAGCAGTCAACGTTTCGGGTATAACCCTTCTTCAGTCTAGGGTTTGAGCTATAGCTGAGCCCTTACCCCATTGATTCTGTCAGTGGCTAATTGATGAAAGTGAAGCTGCCTTTCACCGGAAGCAAGCCCTTTATGCTCTCGGGAATATGACCTTCTATCACCTCCACAAGTGAGAGGTTCAACACATTGCTCTTCACTATGAGAACTGAATGGTGGGTTTGGCTTCATGTGGTTTGGTGCATGTTACAGGATTCATATTCGGGTCAGGGCGAAACCCAAAAAGGTAAAGAGAGGAGAGGATGAGGAAAGGGGTAAAAGATGGATAGTGACGTAACACATCTGGGGATTAGAATCACAGAATCCCTACAGTGTGGAAACAGGCCCTTCAGCCCAACAAGTCCACGCCGACCTTCAGAGCATCCCACCCAGACCATTACCCTTTTCCCTGTAACCCATCTACATATCCCTGAACAGTACGAGCAATTTAGCATGGCCAATCCACCTATCCTGCACATCTTTGGACTGTGGGAGGAAACTGGAGCACCCGGAGGAAACCCACGTAGCCACGGGGAGAATGTGCAAACTCCACACAGTCAGTCGCCCGAGGGTGGAATCGAACCCGGGTCCCTGGCGCTGTAAGGCTGCAATGCTAACCGTTGTGCCGCCCATAAAGAGCCTTTAAAATGGAAACTTATCGATAAAACGACCAAAGTATTTAGAAATAACTGGAAACCTCACTGACATGCTGCTGTCAGAATCTGGGATAGATAGTAGTTTACGTAAAAGATGTAAACATCACTCCACTAACTCTGCCTGAGCTGCTGAGTGTTTCCAGCACTTCGTATATTTATTAAAATAAAGGACATTTCATCCTGAATCATCAAAAGGAAAGAAGCAGGTGATCGTAGCTCACCTCCTCGATGGCTCAAAGTTTCTGTTTCAGATTTCCAATACACTCAGTATTTTGTTCTTGTCGTTTTCATCCAGTTAAAGTCCAGTGAAACCCTATGTTTATGTGACATCTGATATGAGATTGCAGACTTCTCAAAAACTTTAGACATCTGCTATGTACAGATTCAAACACTATACAAGAAGTTACAGAAACAAATACACAGAAGGCTGGAGAAACTCAGCAGGCCTGACAGCATCTGCTGAAATAGAAACACTTACCATTTTGAGTCCAGTGTAACTTCTTCAGAATACTTTATATTTGTTTTCGTACAAGAAGCTACAGGACGGATGCGTCTTGTCTGCCGTGAGGATAGAGGCTGGGATGAAGATGAGTCACAGAGTACTTCCTGGAGGTATCATCCTGTCTGTAAGGTTGGGTTTGAGGTTCCTCTGCTGAGTCAAAGGTACCAGACTATGACCAATGCATGTGGGGTGAAATGAACCAGCCAACCGGGAGCTAGAATAGGGAATAGGACCTCTCGGGAACTTTTCAGTGAACTTATTGATCCATTTTCGCTCCGTTTTTTCCAGGTTAGCATGTCAACAGTTGGTTATGGAGACATCATTCCTGAGACGCTGCTGGGTCGAGTGTTTGCGTTTGGCTGTATTTCCTTTGGGATCATACTGAACGGCATGCCGATCTCCATGCTTTTTAACAAGTTCTCAGACTATTATGCTAAACTGAAGGCCCTGGAACGGGCTTCAATGTTGAAAGAAAGGGGAGAAATTGCTCTGAAAGATCGGGTTCTGAGGAAACTGGCCCAATGCTGTGAAAATCAGGTCCCCAGAGACTGAGAAGTGAAGACACAGATATAACCCTGTGGAACCTAGTGGGAAATCAGGGAATATCTAGGCTATCCTCATGTTCAGATTGGAGCGTGACTTCTGCTGATCACCCCCCGCCCCCCGCGAGTTTCTTCCTTCAGCACTGAGTAGCCCAGAGCACTTGAGCACTGAGTCTGTGGGTAGCTGTGGTTATAGTGACCATGTACAGAAAAACTTGATCCTGGCCCTGAGCATCACACCCACCAGGGAAACGCATATGGAGTAAACCGCACCAGATCCTGTCTGATCTGGTGAGGCTAGAAACCAGTCAATCCCTTTGTCAGTTAGTGGCGTGAACTCATTTCATACAAAAGGTACCAAACCCAACATTCTTCGTTAATTGAGATAACAATTTGTAGAGCTGGATGAACACAGCAGGCCAAGCAGCATCAGAGGAGCAGAAAGGCTGACGTTTCGGGCCTAGACCCTTTA